ACCATCTTTATAATCCTTATGTACTAAATAGATCTCATAAGGTTTTTAGACAATTAAAAGACATGACATCAGCTTACATTTGGAAATAGATTCAGGTAATCCCTATGAACTATGATTGACCAAGGTAAGGGCAGAATTCAAAGAAAAACATGAACATAAACTTGGAGTACTTCTGTGAAAAATGTTGTTACTTAAATAATATTTACAGAGTTTTATCTTGAGCAAGGACTATGACTTCAAGTTTCAAATTCTAATTTCCTATTTGCTGTTAATGTACCATTACATGGATACATCTGCAAAAGAGTAGTTACCCAGGAGCGACTGTAGATACTGTAGATAGAATGAATGTACCACTGAAAGCAAAATCTACAGGCAGTTCTCAACTTACAACCGTTCATTCAGTGACCATTTGAAGTTACAACGGCACCGAAAAAAGTAATTTATGATTATTTTTCACAGGTTGTTGCACCATCCCCATGGTCCCGTGATTAAAATTTGGATGCTTGGCAACTGACTCATGACGGTCGCAATGTCCTGGGTCATGTGATCACCAAAGTTAATGGGGAAGCCAGATTCACTTAATAACCGTGCTACTAACTTAACAACAGCAGTGATTCACTTAACAACTGTGACAAGAAAGATCATAAAAGGGCAAAACTCACTTAACTGTCTTGATTAGCAACAGAAATTTTGGGCTCAATTGTGGTTGTAAGCCAAGGACTACCTATACATCTCTCCCTTTGGACAAATATCTTTGAGCGGTACTGTTTAAGTTGGATAGGGCGTATGTGTTTAACACTATTGTTGCTGAATGTTTTATATATTATGGACATAACTAAATAAAATTTGCAATCTGAATCTTTACAAGTTTTATTCCATATGAACTTTATCAGATACACATAGCTAGAATATCAATTTAGAAAAAATGTAATTGGGATTAATAAGTATCATTCTGGCAGAAGTAAAAGGGGGCTTAAAGGAGCAACAAGACTCAAAGGCACCTCTTTCTTTTTGTAAATGTGATTACTGGCCACACCTACCATTGCAGTTGTTTTATGAACGCACTAATAACTTCCTCTCAAATTTCCAAATGTACTCTCTTAAGCAAAAGAATTTCCTTGTGGCATATTTTTATAACTAGTCCATTTACTGTATTGTATCTTCTAGGGTGCCACGACCATGTTAACAATACCCAAGAACTTGAGAACAGACTGAACATGTTTGAGCAAGTCAACAGTAACCTTCTTGCTTTGTCTTTGTGCCTAAACAGTACTTTTTCAGCAACCTGAGGCAGACATTTCCTATGGGCCTTCCTTCAGCGATACTGCTTTTTTCTTCTGGATATTATGCCCTACTACCCTATCTCCTCTCCAGAAGTCAACTACGTAAAAAAAAAATGTATGTATCCTATATAGCCTGACTTATTCAAATAAGAAATGGAAATAAACAGCTCACTGACCAATGGCACTTAGATTGTATTTGCCCACCTTAGCAGTCAAACCCAATCTCAAATTTTGACCGATGATAGTTATAAAAATAAAGGCTGTGAAAAGTATAATAAACCAGCATTCCTAAATCAAGTGTTCATCCTATACAGTATGTCCCAGAATCCCCAGGCAACCTATTCATGTTTGTAGCAATTGTGAGAGTAATAGGCCCCAAACATTTGAAGCCAGACTGGGCACAGCTGGAAAAAACTAAGAATACTGAAATAATTTTGTCAGATGACAAAAGATGCTTCCAATTCTCTGCTGGTAGGATAACTTTAAAACAATAAATACTTTATTTGTATTTATAGAACTATACAAGTCCTATACTTTTGTATTGTTAGTAGAACTTGATGTACTCCAGCCCTCTACAATCAGCTTCATTTTAAAATATTTTCTGGATAAGATAACAAAAATCAGTTATGAATTTGTGATTAAAGTGAAATTGTGTATGCTTATGTTTCCTTCTCATTTTGGTCATTGCTGCTATGATAAAATATGATAAACAAGGATAAATGTAGATCTGTAACTAGGGTTGCCAACTACTTTTGCTGCTGGTGATCCTGATCCTGCTGGCTTTAATACGGTAGATAAACAGCACTGCAAATGCAGAGTTAGAAGTACCGAACCCTGCCAGGAGAAAAACAGTTGACATAAGTAGATACCCCTTTCACATTTAGTAACCAGGTTAAATCCATTCACTATACCTTTCTGCCTTGCAAGCCATAATTTCTCCTATCATGACCATGTCTCACTTTGTATATTGATCTTATTCTTTAGTCTTCTCATCACTTTTTCAGGATCTATAAAGCCTTAGTAAGGCCACACCTAGAATACTGCATCCAGTTTTGGTCACCACTATAAAAAAGATGTTGAAACTCTAGAAAGAGTGCAGAGAAGAGCAACAAAAATGATTAGGGGCCTGGAGGCTAAAACATGAAGAACAGTTGCAAGAACTGGGCATGGCTAGTCTAGTGAAGAGAAGGACCAGTGGTGACATGATAGCAGTGTTCCAATATTTGAGGGGCTGTCACAGAGAGGAGGGGGCCAGCCTATTTTCCAAAGCACCAAAAGGCAGAACAAGAAGCAATGGATGGAAACTAATCAAAGAGAGAAGCAACCTAGAACTAAGGAGAAATTTCCTAATGGTGAGAGCAATTAACCAATGGAGGAACTTGCCTTCAGAAGTTGTGGGTACTTCATCACTGGAGACTTTCAAGAAAAGACTGGACAACCACTTATCAGAAATGGTATTGGGTCTCCTGCTCGGGGGTGGTGGTGTTGGACTAGACAACCTACAAGGTCCCTTCCAACTCTGTAAAATTCTTCTATGTTTTTCTTCTGCACTGCTCAGTCATGCATTTGATCAACCCATTGATCAGTCATGCATTTATTCAACCCATTCATTCTTGACCCTGTTTTATTCCACACCTATGTATCCTATTTCCACTGCATTTAATTTTTTTTGCCATATCCAACTTTCACTTCTTTATAATAGAAACACGATCTTACACACACACCCTTAACTTCTTTAATCAAGCATGCATTCCTCACATTAGACTACTTATAGCTGGCAACCGTCTACTGTAATATATGAATTATATTTGCAGATATGCCAATTTTTCTCTACTTGGAAAATGACTTTTCACTCTAGACTGAGCAGTGATATTTCTTCAGCTTCTGAGAGAACTGGGCAAACAGATTTTGTATGTGTGGGTGTGTGTTTCAATAGACATGGGGAAGTAGAAAAAATAATGCCACTACTGTAGTATGGGAGTGTCTTGGTTACTTTATAAAATGAAAGAGTCTAGCATCCTGCCCTCCTAACAGGTGGAGTCCTAACCATATGATTCAGAGTTGGTTCTCCCAAGAAATTGGGTGAGTCAGTTTAGCAAATACAACTATGTACCTTAGTCTCTTCAAGATTTATTGATTAACATTTAAAGCATTAATGGAAGAAACTGCAGTATATCTTTTGAAATAGCTTGGCTATAATTTAAATTTAACATTGACTTTCAAAAATTTAATCTTTTCAAGCCAATTTTTGAGGCTAAACAAATCTGCGATCCACTGCAAAACAGATTGTTTTGATACTGTAAAAACTGGTTTTGGGGAGAACTTAAAATAGACTTTTTTTATTATCTGCCATCAAGTTGTGTTTGACTCCTAGTGACCACGTAGATTTTTTTTCATGATAATCTGTCCCTGATCTGATCCTTCAGGTCTTCTCATGGTGCACTCATCATCACCACATCGAAGTCCATCTAACTTACTGTTAGTCATTCTCTTCTCTTTCTTTCCACCTTTCCAGCATTAGAGCCTTTTCCAGAGATCTGAGTCTTCATGTGTTGAAAGTAGCATAATTTGAGCCTGGTCATTTGTGCCTCCAATGAGAATTATGTTAATGTGCTTGATGATCCATTTTCTTGGCTGTCCACAGTATTCTCAGGAGTCTTCTCCAACACCAAAGTTCAAAAATGCCAATACTCTCCTGCTTGCCTTGCTCCATAGTGTCTCACAGTAAAACAGTATTACTAAAATAAAATTAACATGTAACTATATATTGTTCATCTTATTTTCCATAACAATTGTGTCTCCAATAACTACCAAGTAGATCACAGGGCAACATTCCTTCATAATTGTTTCCTTTGCTTTTCCGTGGCCTTTGAAAATGGAAAATTCCCCCTAGCTATCAAAGTTGGTAAAGTGCCCCAATGGATGATACCCACCAAATATGTTGGCCAAAGGAATCAGTTTTAAGGCAAACCTTTTCGTGGATTTGTCCCATCCAACGGTGCCCCAATCTCTTTAGCTACTGTGGATGTGTTGGAGAGGACACCTCCAAAACTGAAGTTCCGGGAAGGCTGAATGAATCCCAGTACAAAAGCCATTTAAATTTAGCACCCTGGGGCCAAAAATTTACAGTGAAAACATCATGACTCTTGTCTTCTTTCGCTTCCCTTCTACGAAACCTGCTCCTATTTTCCACCGTCAACGAGAAGATATTTTATCGCATACAGATGGCCAGTTCAAACAGGCAAGCATTATGACACAGGACAGAATCGAGCAATCTACATTCCTACAGCAACGTAAAGCGGTCGCCTGAGAAGGCAGGAAAGGGCTGTGTTTTGGCCCCAGCGCTGGCGCCCAGCCACGAAATGAGCCGCTGGAGGAGGAAACCTCCGAGCCGAGCAAGCAGGGAGAACTGGGGACACCCGCTCGCTTCCGTAAACATCGCTTAGCCCCGCCCCTCCAGCCGGGAGAGGAGCATTCCTACCCAGGGAAGGGGAGCGGACCCATCTCATAGAAGGACGAATTTGCCTCCCTTTTGGGAAAAAATACTGCGCAGCCGGCTTCGACCTGTCCGGGTTAAAACTTGTCGCTTCACTCTCCGAGGGTTGCTTCCCTTGCCTGTCGTGTCGGTTAAGATACGGAGTGAAACGTTTCCCCCTCTCCTCATAGAGAAGTGGGAGCGTCCAGGCAGCTGCTAATAGACGGCCAAAGACTATGTATAACCAAACGGGGGAGGCGGATGGAGAGTTAAAGACCGAGTGAGACCAGCTGAGGAGCAGCCCAGGCAGAACCGGGGCAACCGAGGACTTCTCTGCCTGGAAAGGGTCTCTTACGGTGAGTGGGTCTTGATTTGCCTTTTTCCTCCTCCTCCACCTCTTCCTCTTGAGAAAGGAGCGCCCGCGTCCTCCCCAAGCCCGAGAATCAGATCGATGGTGATCCCTGGATTGTCTCGGGAGCCCATAAAGCACGCTTGCATTGCGGAGACCCCTGAGCGCGGTGAGGGTGGTGGTGGGGGAATCGTTCTGCCTGGATCCTGATGTGAAGCAAAGCCCGTGTCAGACTCTGCGGTTCTGATGTGCAAACAATGGCTAATGGCTTTACGCTGTTTGTCCAATTCAGCTTGTGTTGGCTTGTTTGGCCCCCTGGTTAAACAAACAAACATAAGGCGGGCGGTGGGAGCTCGATCTCAAGGTGACTCCTCTCGTCTATCGACCGCAAAGCGCGCTTTTTGCAGTTGGGCAAAGCTGAGTGGGGGAAGGAGAGCAATAATTCCCTTTCGGGGGCCGGGGGTGGAAAATCCTTCGTTGGCAACCCTAATCGTTTTGTCCTTTTTGAAACACTTTTCTAATGACCCTCCTTCACCGTAACTTCTCGGGTACAGTTAAAGATCCGGAAGCGTTTAGAGAAAGGGCAGATAACGAAGGCGAGAAGCGACCTGTTGTTTAGAGGTTTTCCTTGGAAACAGCTGGTTTTGTTTGGACCGGAGGGTGCCAGGACGCTTGCGCCTCTGAGCCGCCGCCAAAAATACATCTGCGGGGAGGGGATCGGCCAAGCCGAGGAGGACAAGGAGGAGCTGCTGTTCTTGCCTTCTAGGAGGGGCGTCGAGTTACTCATTTGCTGTTCTTAATCTTGTACGGTACAATAGAGCGGTGGAGGACGCGGCTCTCATGTTGACTTGCTAGTACAGGTGGTCCGCGACTTACCATCATAATTGAGCCCAGAATTTATGTTGCTAAGTGAGACATTTGTTAAGTGAATTTTGCCCCATTTTGCGACCTTTCTTGCCACAGTTATTAAGTGAATCGCTACAGTTAAGATAGTAACATGGTTGTTGAGTGAATCTGGCTTCCCCCTTGACTTTGCTTGTCAGAAGTTCACAGAAGGGGATCACATGACTCCAGGACACTGTAACCATTATAAATATGAGTCTGTTGCCAAGCATCTGAATATTGATCATGTGACCAAGGGGATGCTGCAAGGGTTGTAAGTGAAAAACAAGTCATTTTTTTCAGTGCTGTTGTAACTTTGGTCACTAAACGAGCTGTTGTAAGTTGAGGATTACCTATACATCCTCTTACTCTGCCCATTGCATTTAGGGTTATGGAAATAAAATCTCAGGAGGGGGCCACCACAAAAATCTGGGTGACCATTACCTGGGAACCAAGGACAAGAGTTTTGTATATATGAGTTGCAATTTTTATTATTATTATTATTATTATTATTATTATTATTATTATTATTATTATTATTATTATTATTATTATTATTATTAATTCCTTTTAACCCCAATTTAAAATTAAAAAGCAAAACTTCTATATAGTAACTGTCTAGATTTCTGCAACAGATCCAATAGCCCATGGTTCAGATGTTTATAAACATTCTTGCACTTAAATCATCATCTTAGTTAACAATGGTGGTTTTTTTCTAATTTGACAAATAGTAGAAACTTAAATATTAAATGTTTCTAAAAGTACTTTAAACACAATAATAAATCACTGTCAAATCATAAGTTATGTCTGTTAGCACAGAATACACCATAATAATTGCACATCTCTCCATTTCCATTTCTGCAGAGATTCTCTTGATTTTTCAGGATTTTTCCATGAGATCGTGTGAAACCACCTCAAATCACAGGACACATTTGCCAGGCTTCTTAGTCATGGGACCTTTTGCCTCCATTGCAATATTAAAACATAATTTGAAGCCCAAATCTTCCTGATTTCATTTAATCCTTACATGGAACCTACATGAAATCATCAAGAAATAAATATGTCTGTCAGGTCCGTGAACAATCATGGATCTCACCACTTTTGGCTCCAACATGACACAAAAATTGGGTTTGAGAGAGATAATTTGATTTTGCATCACTTTTAAAGGGAGTCACATGACATCATTCTAAAGTCACAAAACACCTTTGTCTATAAAAGTGAACTATCGCAATAGATACTATCAATTGATTGAATACTTGGATTCGAGGCATGAATCTGTATCATTTTTTTTTTACATTGGATCAATTTGAAATAATTGTTAAAACACTGATCATAGATTTCTGCATAAAACCAAACATCAGAACTACAGATCTGAGTATCTGGAACATAATGCAACAGACTTCTATTTGAAATAAGAATACTCATGAATATTCTTGATTTTTACACATAGTTTATCTGAAACATCAAGTGATAAAATCATATCACAAAACTGGTAATGTTTGGCTCCCGTTTGTTATAAAAACAAAAAGAACTTACTTTCTTTAAATTTTACCTAGCAATAACTCATAAAATTCAAAAAGACGAAATTAATCTGAAAGTAATCATAAAGAAAACAATAGAAGAGAATATTTGTCAGGGTTGAACTATAGAGTCTTGAGTGCTCTCTGAGCATGGCTGTTTGTTTTCAGATGTAATTACTCATAAGAAAGCAACCAAGCTCAGAGAGCACCAAGGATGCCACAATACAGAGAACATACAAATCATCCACAATGGTGATGATAGATAGATAGAATGATAGATTGAGCAGATACTGAAATCCAACGGAAGTGCATAAAAGTGATAACAGGTATAAGAGAAATATTTCCCACAAATTCTCAGAAATGATAGCCCTTGCACCATGATACGGAAAGGAAAATTATGTTTACTAATAAAGAATGACTCACTTTAAAAGATGGCAGAGTAGATCTGAAAGTCCAGGGGCATTTGTAGTAGGGCTTTTTTTCCTCGTAGAATGCCCAGAACGGAGTTCCGGCACCTTTTTTGGATGGAACCTTGTAGGGTAGGCAAGATGGGTTGTATGACGTGTGTGAGTTCTGGCACCTTTTTTTTTTTTTTAGAAAAAAAAGCACTGAGGAAAAGTATATATATATATATTGTGACACTTCATTGCAGGTGAATCAGAGATGGAAATCAGGAATGCTCATCATTTTTCATTACTAACCCCTTTGCATTCTGCGAATTCTAATTTTGCAATATTTTAAAGATCCTTAGACTGATAGCATTATGGTGCAACCATATTTTTTCACTAATATATATATTCTGAAGTTTTTTTTTCTATATAGATGTACATAAGATTGCAACACACTGTTCAATACCAGGAAAAAAAAACTCCAGGCAGAAGACTTGCACGAAATAAACCTGCAATAAATATGGATGATTAAATGAATAATATTTTCTTGAGGGGGGGAGAGAGACTCTACATTCTGAAGAGTTCTATCAATTCTGTAAGCCTTTGTCTCTTGTCTCTTCATCTTAATAATGGACTGTATTTTAACTAAGATGCACTTTCTTCCCTTTAGGGGAATTCACTTTAGTTTTGAAGAAGTAACTTAAATGTGGAAAGCAATATTCGGGGGGGGGGGGAAGGGAGGAGTTCAAGCCTTCTTTCTTCCAGAGCTGCTACTTCATAAACCAGGATTTGCCCTTTTAAATGAAGAATAATCTAGGTGTGAAATACAGATACTGCAGGAGGGGGAAGAAGAGACTCCTCTTACAGATTTTCCAGGTCATGTTTGTCTTAGTCTTAAAGAAAATGCTAGGACAGCTGAAGCATTTACTAAAAATGCAAGGGTAGGAAAGAACAATAGGTTGAAAGGTCACTAAAGCACTTGTAATTCTTGGTAAAAATTATGCAATCTAAATTATTAGCTAATGCTAAAGTCTATGTGGAACATATCTCTAAGTATTTATTTTAGATCTCAGAAGAGAGTTGTCTGTTGCTTTCTTACTAGCGTGCAGGGAGAAAACGAAGAAAAAGGTTGCTACTCCAAAGACTGAATTTAGCTCATAGCAGGAGAAAAATGAATTTCTGTCTTCTGGATTAATGTTTGCAATGAGTTATACAAAAAACTAAATGTTCAGAGTCTGATTTACAAACATCAGTAAGGTGATTGAATTAGGATGCACATGTAATGTCTTCTCAAGAAACAGATCTACTTAAATGAAACACCACTGATGAAATTAAATTCTCACCTACTGTAATGATGTTACATTATGGAATTTGCTGTTAACAAAAGTTCATTAAAGAAACCTATTTCCCACTTAATTATCTACATCTCTATAATTAATATAAGTGTTGCTGTTCAGCTTCCATTCATTGGGAGATCAATAATGTGATTATTGCTATACCTTTCTATATGGGTTGCTATGTTTCTGAGTTCAAAAAGATATGCTTATGATATCTGCTAATTCCTCACCATGCACAGGCACACACAAAACATGTAAATTTTCTACTGAAGCTAAAGCCATATAGAGCCATAAAGAGCCATGTTGCCTTATTTACTCATATTGGTATATTCTTGAATCCTTTTCCTCTTCTGAAAAGGGAAACACAACAAACAGTTCAAGAATTTCTAAGTCAAGTATTGTACTACGGTATCACTGAAGTTGGTCAGCACTGATTCTGGTGTGTGCAAGAAGAAAGGTCGCACATTCCTTAAATGATTTTTTCCCATTATGAGATACTAAATGAACCACTTTTCTGTTTTAATTTTCTGCTTCTTCAAAGAACTATTTATACTCCAGCCTTGTTTTAGCATGGAGTGTAGATGGGTTAGCTTTCAACTAACATTGCTTGTCAGCAAAAGCTAAGAATTATTAGAAGCATCAGCCTGGGAAAAATGAAACATTTTTAATAATTAAAAAAAAAAGCAAGCTGCCACTACAGGATCTACATTTGTGAGTAGAATTATGCAACTGGTACATTGCATGACTCTCCATAATCCCTCTGTTTTGAAGTCCCAGGTTTTCACTAGGAGTTTGGCGAGTTCGTGCATGAGTTAATGTTATGTTTGCCCTTGCCACTCTACAGGTGATGATGTAAGTGTAAAATGATATTTTAATAAAATCACTGCATCATATGCTTGTAAAGATATTCATGCAGAAATGAATATTGCTTAAAAATGAGATTACAAGTGTTTCACAAATACGTAAATGTTAACAGTAATGGAGACTGAAAAGTCTAAACGACTATGCAAATTCCATCTTATCTCATCTTCTGTCCCACATAGGCATTATACTTAGTTGACAACATGCTATAGCTATACTATTATATTGGTTTTACTCAAATTTCTTCTTTTCTGTGTTTCGGTCTGCAGATCTGCTACATACTTCTTAAATGATCTTCAATATACATATTGAAAGTGTAACTGCCAATGAACTGCATCAAATCCCACATAGGGAGCAACTCTTGAACAGGTAAGGATTGACCAAAATAGGCAGTCTAAAAATAGTGCAGTAAACACAGATTACATATATGCATATATTTCTATTTTTAAATAAGATTCTTTTAAGCATTTAAATATTATCTCAAGTTTTCTTATACAATGTAATTTGTAATGAAGCTTATTTTCCAATCAAAATAAGACTGTGAATTTCTGTTTCAGGTTCTGCTTTTATTTGTTGTGTGTACATGTCCTATATAGTTACATTTAGGACAGATAGGCTAAATCTACCATGTACATTTTTAGGGTGAGTAAGTGAAGTATGTAGAGGTCTTCATATTTACTTTTATTTATTGCCTTCTCCTATAGCGCTATTAGTAGTAGCTTTCCAGTTCCCCAAGATAGCATAAAATGTGCAGACTGCAACTTTATCCACTCCACAATCCTATCCACTCCAGTGATGCATGGACTCTATCACTCTATTTCTGGTTGGTTGCATCTATATATACTTTGCATACCTACTGATGGTCATTAATTTTCTGAGATCTCCATGTTTTTCACAGCAAAAAGTTACAAAAAAACCCCTGCAACCCTTGCAAATATCTGAACGTCAGAAACTTTCTACCAACAGTTCATTTCATTCCTTTCAGTTTCTTATTAATTATTTGTTTTTTTTCAGCATGCCCATTTAATGTCTGCTTTATCAGTAGAGGGGTTGTTTTCTTGTAAAGTTGAACTTTTAACAGTCAGTGGGGCAAACTCATTTCATAATGTAGAATGACAAATTAACATTAGACAAATACCTCCTATTTGCAATTTAGGGCAGGTGAAAACTTAGGAATGCATTATTTATTTAAGCAGTGGAAGGAGTAGAGGACAGAAAGTAGTGAATGAGTCTGACTTGAGTAAATTTCTGAAGTATATAACTTGAAGCATAAATTAAAAATATTTTTCTTGATGCTTTTTATATATATTCTGAGTAAGTAGGTAAGAAAACTATTTGCAACTGCTATCTTTCCTTGCTTCTGAATAAGATATAAAATCAGTATTTAGATAGGTGGCTTGGTTTGATCTATGTGAAGATCATCCCTTTAAGCTTGAGAATCAGAATATATCCTGGGAATAATAATATAGCACATAGAAATAACCATATCCTTCTTTCTACTACATTAGTAGGTAATTATTTGGTCATTAGGGTATTCAGGTTCTACACTGAGTTTCTATAGTAGTATGCACAAACATCTTTGAAGTGTGCATTTTTAAATTGCAACTTTCTGTAGCTGATTTATTATTACAAATGATTATTTTCCAAAAACATTTTGCTGATTGCTACATCCAATGCTTTTTTTCTATTAAAAAAAAAAAAAAAGGTGCTGGAACTCATACACGTCATACAATGCACCTTGCCTACCCTACAAGGTTCCATCCAAAAAAGGTGCTGGAACTCCGTTCTGGGCGTTCTATGAGAAAAAAAGCCCTGGCTACATCACATATAAAATCAGAAAGAAGATCCATTTCTAAATGTCAATATGGTAATATCTGAGGAGCAGAATATATTCGGAAGTTTATTTCTATTAGCTATTTTAAAAAGATCACAGATGGGATTCCAAACAAAGACACTATGAAGTTGGAAGGGAAGCATCTCAAATTTCTTTCTGGAGTCTTCATGCTCTCTGCAAATGAGGGACAGTCTCATTTAATTACCTGGCTCAGTGACTCATGTTCTTGTGTATTTTATGCAATATGACATACAGGCACAACACTCTAAAGTATGTAGTTGTGTTATTATTATGTCAGTTTTCTTCATTGGGTCTGACACTCGTAAGTTAGATAAATTGTTCCTGGACTGTATCGTTACATATTGTGATTTTATTCACACATCAAGCTAAACAATAGTGTAATTTATTTGGTTTTGACTTAGTGAGCTATGTACACTCAGCCATTGTCATTGATAAATCATAGTTTATAGTCTATCTTGTTCTTCAAATATGGAATTTTTATTTGCTGCTTTTGGGACTATGCCTTTGTTTTACCTTGTCATATGAGCTTTTCTGTAACTACCCAAGAATAAAATGAGTTTTTAAGAGTCTTTGTTACCATGATCATCAAGATTATGCTATGGCACAAGGAACTTCACTTGCAGATCAAGGGTGGGTAACTACTATGTTGCTGCTGTAAAATATCTTGCACATTTGATAACAAAGATTTTTAAATGACCTTGAATGGAACCATTAAAACAAATGACAGCTGTGTTGTGGCTTACCCTTTTGATATTAAAAATTAAAAGATGCCCATTACATGCAATGAAATTTTAGTCCCTTTTCCCAAAATTGTGTCCTCCTGATTAAAAAAAATGATTTCCATAATTCCTTGCTATATGCTAACACATCTTGAGGACACCAAGTTAGGAGAGCTAGTTTCATTCGATTTAGTTTTTGTGCTTACACATTAAGTTTACATCCAAGAAGAGAAATGAAGACTGGCATACTAATCTGTCTCTCCTTCACCATTTGTAGAACTAATTCTCAAGTCCACAAAGAGGGCACCTTCTCTACAATTAATTGGCTTTCAATTCATTGGTAGTTTTGATTAAGAAGATTCCTATGGAACCAAGGAACATCTGGAAAATGTTCATGTTGTAAACAGGAGATTCATGCTTGCATGAAGTACTTGTTGACTCATTGCCAGAGCAGTTTAATAATTGCATGACTATGTAAGTTCCAATTGTAATTTTTAAACTGTATGATGTCATGTTTATTTCCTGTCCTGTGCACGTGCCTAGATATGATAAGTGGGATTATTAATCTACCTGACCAACCCTAGAAATGGTTGCTTTTCCTTGGCACAGGAAGTATTTAACTGCATCCTGAGGATTATTGATGGTTCACTACAAGAGATGTTATATGTCAGTAATGGATTTTCAGTTATGGGTTTTTCAAAAGTGAGTAGGTATTAGCATAATAATGGATAAAGTATATGAATTGAGTAATGGCTGGCTTAAATCTCTTAAATCTCTTATCACACTGCAGTGTTGGGTTTCATATTGCACAAATTGGCACATTATTTAATCCACTAGACAAATATTCTAAGTTTATCAGTTGGATGATTGCCATTTATTTAACTGGTTAAATATTATTGAATATTCCAAGAAATTCAAAGTCATTACTTCTCTTTTTGTTGTAGTAACTCTTTATTAACAAGAATAGAGTAAAGATCATTTGTCCTAGAAAATGTAAAACTTCTGTTAGTCTGATTCTAGTAGTAGGTACTAGAATCCATATCCAAAAGGGAACTGTCTCTAATTAAAATTCCAGTGAAAAATGGAACTTATTCAGTTATGCAGAGTTTAGATAACAGCATTTTGATAAGGAAGAGCATCTCAGTTTCCAAGGAATCCTGTAGTCCATAAAATGCTATCTTAAATTCTGTAAGATTATAGCCTAAAATGATTTTTATTATTTAACACTAGACATTAAATACCCAGTCTAGGTTTTTATATTAGAATATGAAACTCTCTTATACAATTCCTATAAAGACAGATAAAATGATATATGTGGAAAATCCTTTGAAGTGTTAAGTAACGTCTGTCTTTTTAATTTTCAAGAGGACTGCATCTACCTCTAGACAATTGTGATAACTTCATTTGGTGCTTCCTTACACAGGTTAGTATACAGTTTTGACTAACATTCAGTAATTTACTTGTCCATAGTTTAATTGTCATGATCATCAAGTAGGACAATGTCCACATCTGAGTTGGGAATAGCTGTAATAAAATATAATACTGCAAGTATGGAGAATTCTATTATATAAAGAACATAATCTGTGATTATGAATAGTCTAGGTTTGGTGTCTTATTTTAATTATTTTTTTCCAAGATTCTTAGCACTACCCTGTACACCATACAGTTTAAGCCAGTTTGGTATAAAATCCAAAGATATTTAATAATACTGCATGATTCATTTTTAAATGTACAATAAAATGGATAAGTTGTATTTAAGATAGGTAATATCTGCTTATCAGATTTATCCAAAGGCAAGATGACACCATCCCTCAAAGGAAACTTAGAGGGGAAAAAAACCCTCACCTGCTTCCTATATTTTCAGTGAATCTATGGATATCCTTCCATTTTAAAGATAAATTATTTGGAATAAACACTACTCTTAAATATTGCTCTTCAGTGATAACAGTTTTAAAGACTTTCTTATAGCTGTATCAAACATATTTTAATAAACCCCTTTTAAAACATTTGGCAGGCTCTATTTACTGGATCAACAGAAGTGATCCAAAATGCCTTTCACTGATGAGCAGAGCAGTGACTGTGATTCTTCAAGATCTTCAGAAAGTGCAACTTCTTCATCTAGTGACTCTGAATACTCAAGGCAGAGTTTTACCAGTGATTCTTCAAGCAAGCCCAGTTCTCCAGCCTGTAAGCAAGAAGCACGTACTGGGATATGTGTCTTTGAATTGCCAAAAGAATCTGGGATATTCAGGTTGGATATGCAGATCCTCCTCCATTTTGAGGAGAATGTTGGTGGACTATTGTCTTCTGGCCTAATTTCAACATTTGTAGGTTTTGTGTCAAAGATGGACAGTGCAATGTCCCTGACACTTCTAGATTGTGTCCTCAGAACACTCAAAATAATTTCCCAAATTGTGGAAATTTTCAGCAGTTTCCTATGGGAGTTGAGGCTGGCCACATTTTAGAAGGTTTTTTTTAGCTTCCATGACATCATACCAAGTCTTGTGGGTGAAATTGCCAGAATGTGAGATTAGTGTTAATTTATGACCAGCATGGGTTTGGGTTCTAGCAGTTGCCTATATATTGATGTTGGGCATTAGTAAAGATATCATGAAGGACTACCCTGAATTATGTTTATAATTGCCATTAAAATGTCTTAGCCCAGAGGTCCCCAACCTTTTGGGCATCAGGGACCAGTTACATGGAGAAAGGGTGTGTGATTTTGTGTGCTGCCTGCATCCTGCGGATGGGGCTTTGCTTGTTTGTGTGGACCGGTAGCTGGCATGCCGCAGCCTGGTACTGGTCCATGGACTGGGGGTTGGGGACCCCTGTCTTAGCCTATCTGTCTGCAGAGAAATGCCAGCCATATCCTTAAGTACCTTTTAAAATTTTGCTGAAAAAGTATTAAATAGCAAAACGCTTGAATTGTCCTCTAGCTGAACTAAATGATCATCTTAGAACATGTCCAAAATATTCTATAACTTATGGGTATACTGGAAATGTAATTTTGTGCAAAAACATTTCACTAAGATAATGCTTGAAAAACTTTACTTTTAATAGAATGTGTATTTCCTCATTTTAATTCACTTCTGCCTAGTGTTTATTTACTCACTGATTTTATTAATACATTCTCAGTTGGATTTCTCTATTAAAATATCTTGCAATTGAGTAAAATGGGAAAATAATAACATTTTTGTAAATATAGAAGCAAATAGCATGCCAATAAAAGGAAAACATTCTGTTTCGAACACATATATTTAGACATATATTTTAAAGAGATTTTATTAAAAGAGATTTTATTAATTGACTTCAAAGAGCAAGCAATTTCTGATTTGCAGAGATCAGAGTTGGCCTTTTCACTAAAGAGAATGGGCCAACTGTGGCTGAAACTTGGTGCAGTGAAAAGCATCTTGAATCTCTGATGTTAATCTGCCTCCTTCAAGTAAAGTTATCATTCCTGTTCTATTTCTGCTGTCAAAATAAAGCACAAGTGCCAGTCTGATTAGCTTTTGTATAGAGCAGGGGTATCAAATTTACAATGTCACGTGACGTGTCGTGACATATCGCAATTTTTTTGCCATTGCCGGCAATGGGGTGAGCGTGGTTTCGCTATGATACATCCGGTCCACGGGCTGGCAGTTTGACACCCCTGGTATAGAGGGTCAAGTACAAAGGACGAATTCTCTGGGACAGCACATATTAATCGGGGCTTGCTGAGCAAGGAACAGTTGGCTGATTTCATAAACCATGGTTTCAGCCACAGTAGGATGCTGATGGAACATGCAGGCCAAAACAAAGTGCAGTTTGACTTAGTATGGTATGTGAACCCAGCTACAGAATGGTGGGGAGGCTCAATTAACTTGTCCTTAAGTTTATTTCTAAGCTAGTCTATTGCTTCAGGAATAAACACATCCTGTTACAAGAACAATGAGAGGGGAATAAGGACTGGCAGTTTTTGAATTGCATTCCAGGTAACAAAATCTTCCGGCTTGGAATTTGCCCAAAAAAGGAGATATTTTGTGAAAATACAAGTTCAAAGTAACTTTTTTTTAAACACTAAATGCAGAACCCACTCAGAAATGAAAAATATTGATCTGTTTTCATATTGAGTCAATGTGGCATGTGTTTTATTTCCTGACTCCAGCAACAAGCCCTCCCAAAATGGTTACGTTTGATGAAATGATGGCAGCTGCAAGGAATCTCTCTAACCTGACTCTGGCTCATGAAATTGCTGTAAATGAGAATTTTCATTTGGAACGCATAGAGCACCCACACAACAGGTAGGTTCTAAAAAAGGGAGGGAAAAGGGAATCGGTTTTCAAACAAATCAACAAGCATTCACAGATAGTTTGCACAGTTTCAGGGGTCTTTTCAAATGTTCATCTTTTGGTACAGAATGTGTATTCAAAAAGCTAAGCAAGTTTTTTTCAGGTTATGCTTGTAATTCAAAGTAATAAGCCCATGAAACTTACACATTGCTACTTTAAAAAAGACCCTGAGCATACAGTATTCCTATAAATACTGGCTAAGGTTACATATCACACAAATTGTGACCTCTGTAATAACTGTAATGGCCCATTTCACAAATAAATTGAACTCTGATCATTGGTTTATAAACTGCCATGGCTAGGAACTTTCTATTAATGAAATGATAGGTCCTCTAAGCAGGAACTTGATTTGACTTTTGTAGTTTTAGCACTATGCTTCCTTTGAATTCATATACTGTCCTGTCTTCCCATCTCACACCTGACAGCTTGCCTGGAAGGGTTAAACAAATTGTACATAAAGCATTCTGGGATCGTCTAGAAGAAGATTTGAATGAAGACCCTCCTGAGTATGGGCACGCAATCAAACTGTTTGAGGAAATTAAAGAGGTGGGTCTTTGGTCCTGTTCTCTCAAGCTAAGTTTGTTTTTGTCTTGTTGGTAAGCAGCCATGAAGCAGATTCTTTACATTGGCATTCTGTAAATCAAAGTTATAGATGTAAAGTTGCAGCCTCTCAAGATGTCCCTAGTCTGACTGTCTTTCAGGTATCTTGGCCATGGTGGTTGGGAGAATGGTAAAGTTGAGTTTGAGCACACCTGAGAGCCAATAAGGATGGGGAAGGCTGCTGAAAAGTTTTGTAACAGATGGAAAGAAATGATAAGGAAAATTTATATGTAGATACAAAATAGCATGCTTTTTTTTGTTTGTTTATGATGGCATAGCTGCCAGAGGCAGAACTGCATAAAGTGTGATATCACTCATTGTGGCACCTCTCCTCTAATACTTTTTCTTACTTACAGGCTTCCTGGGGTATGATAGGGACCAGCATTTTCAACAGTCAGATTCTCAGAGGAAAAATGCTGATTTGGCCAGCTCTTACTATATTTCCCTACATTGATGTTAGACTCTGATGTAGCATTATTATATGTTCAAGGTGACCACAATAACTGCTCAGCTTATCCTGTCAGTACTGAAAGCCAGTTAAAAATGTGTGTGCCTGGCAGGGTTTGCCTGAACGTTATGTGTATTAGTATTTGCATGCTGAGTATTTAAGCAGGGCCTGAATGGGATCCTGCTAATACAACTACAATATTACATTATATAACATTGTAACATTGTTTTGTAGTTGTTAAAGGTTTTGCGGTGGGTGGGGATGGGATGTCTATGTGTCTGTGCGAATGCATACCTTTGACTTAGTGTTGCCTCCTAGCAACTGCTTGGGCTATTCCCTATAGTTTTGTTGGCAAGGTGTTTCAGAAGTGGTTTGTCATTGCCTCCTTCCTAAGGCTGGGAGAGAGTGACCAGCCCAAGGTTACCCAGCTGACTTTGTCTCTGAGAAGTAGAACTCATGGTCTAAGCCTGATGCCTTAGCCACTACACCAAACTGACTCTCTTGTTGTTAGTAGAACTCGGATGTACCTATTAATTTTTCATAAGGTTTTTGAGCTTCCAAGCAGTTCAAAATTGCCTCCACGTTTTTCCCTGACTTTTTTGCCCCATAAATTAGGCGGTTTTGGGGGAGGGGGAGCAAACTGAACCAAAATCACTTTGTTGTTAGCTTTGTGGCCACTTAGTTCCTCCAAATGACACTTTTGTGAAATAATCTAGATGTGGAACAGCATGTACCTGTTTTGCATTCAGATATGGCATTCACATCATTTGAATTAAAAACTATATAGAGGGTGACTTCAAGTGGCAAGATGGGCAGACTCATAATTGCTCTTGAAGAGGGAAGTTTGGCACGTACAATATAAAGCTACAGTTGCTGAAATTTCTCCTAACTTGTAGGATTGATTGATTCTCTCTACAGGTGTGTTTGACCACATGAAACACACATTGCTATTATGGGTCATTAATTACAACTTACTTGACTTCTGGTTTTAATCTTGCAGATCCTTCTTTCTTTTTTGAACCCGGGGGCTAACAGGATGCGCAACCAAATTTGTGAAGTCCTCGACACGGACCTTATAAGGCAGCAGGCTGAGCACAATGCAGTTGATATCCAGGGTCTTGCAAACTATGTCATTAGCACTATGGGGAAGCTGTGTGCTCCAGTAAGAGACAATGATATCAACCAGTTAAAGCCCACTGGGAATATTGTAGCATTGTTGAGGTTGGTATGTGGTTTGCTTTTTAACACTAGGTGGTGATTAAAAGAATGATCCAAATCAATCTTCCCCAAATTTCCAGGTGTCTTATACCATTTAGAATTCCCAACTAGCATTGGTGTGGAGTCCTTCTATTTGTATTTTACTGTTGGTAGTCAGACATTAATAATACTTACCATTGACTAAAGCATCGCTAACTGAGGAATTCTAGGAGCTGAAGCCCACCAACCCAAATTTGAGAAACCCTGGACTAAAACATTCCATGTACAAGCACCATCTTCAGTCTGACTTTAAACTATAAATCTTTGGCCTTTTTTTTTAGTTTTCTGCTTTTTCCCTATCCCCTATTTTTTGTAAAAGCAACCATCCACTTCCATGTTATTTTGGCTCTTGTAAAAGAAGCATCCTTTCATTGTATTTTCTAATGGTTCAACTCAGCTTTCAGAGTTGTTTTAATCCCAATGGATATCTAGTCTATCTTGATGGCTATTTGCTTTTTAAAGCTAGTTGCCTTAAGAGTTTAAAAAGTGACTTTTGCACTACCAGTTTCCCATAGGCACCTGGTTAAGCCACCGTAGGAGCAGAATAGATAGGATTTATGTTATCATTTCTTGTGATCTGTATTTGAAGTAGCTATATAGGTTATATAAAGATGTAATTATAGGAACATTGCAGAACAGCTGAAATTCTGCTCAGTAGCTTTACAGTTGCATGCCTTATTTTTGAAGCTTGGATAGGATGTAGTTTCTTATGAGTATATGTCATGTTCACATTGTGAGAAAGGACAACCGACAAAGTATGTAAGTACAGTGCTTGAACATACTGCAGATTTGTTATTTCTCTATTCTTTCAGGCAAATATTCCATGTTCTGGATCTCATGACAATGGATATGGTTAATTTTACCATTCAGAGTCTTAGACCTCACCTTCAGCGCAACTTGATAGATTATGAAAGAGCAAAATTCCAAGATATACTTGAAGAAACTCCAAGTATGTTCTTTGTTTACATAAAAGGGAATAGACAATGCAGTGGCAACAAAGGCAATTATAAGAGATCTGAAGCAGTTGAGCAAAAACCTGCAACAGATTTGGGGAGAGAAGTGAAGTATTCTAAAACTTGTTAAGGATTATGATCAGTAAAAAACCTTGAGTTGCAAAAATGCTCTGGCTTACATGTTTTACTGTTTGGATGTTTCTTACATTGTATACTCATGCATGATTATGTTACTTTGTCATGTTGTAAGCTTAGTCAGTTTTTAAAAACACTCTAGTTTTCAATATTCACCTTTATTATCTTTTGGTGATTAGGTCCTGGAGTTATTCATTCCCATAGCTTATTTACTGAACTGGGTACATGCCTTTGTAAAACAAAAAATACAAGTCTGCTCTTTCTTATCTCTGTCTCCAAATGTTCAGGTGCCCTTGACTTGACAACCGAATGGATAAGGGAATCAATACAAGATGAATTATCTTCTATTTCTGGTGAAATGTCATCATTCCCTGGTGCTAATGGGATCTCAAAACCAAACCTTAGTCCAACTGTGCTGTTAACAAACAGCTACCTGAAACTGTTAGAGTGGGATTATCAGAAAAAAACAATTCCAGAGGTAATTTGCTTTCTATCTTAGCACTTTAAGATAGAATATAGATAAGATAGAATAAAACCTTTATTCTCTTTTTTCCTGTAACATACATAGTGGAGAGCAATTTATACTTAAATCATGGTTGGCTTAACCATGATTTATGGAATGAACCACAACACACTAATCCAAAAACATTTTATAGGTTAATATGTTGCCTGAATCTATGCCAGTAGGCTGTTCAATAATTATTACCATTCATAATGTCATGGGTAGATTTTTGCAAGAAGATTGGATAAAGCTGACTCCCTTTTATGAGAGCCGATAGTTTGACAGTCATTCATTTCTTTTCATTACAATATTACGCCTTGCATTTGATGTGATTGGTTATTAATGGAGCCCCTGACTCTGTGGTAACCTACTTACTTTATCCTATAGAAATTAATGGGAACACCTAACTCTACAGCAGGGGTGTCAAACTGCCGGCCCATGGGCCGGTTGCATCATACGGAGGCCGTGCCCACCTCAGCTCCGGCAATGCAAAAAAGTTGCGATATGTCGTGACACATCATGTGACGTGGCGAGTTTGACACCCGTGCTCTACAGACTATGCTTCCATCAGATTTGATGACAATCATTGTTTTAATAATTTTAAGAGACAGGACAAAGTCATGACAGTTAAGACTATAACACCTAGTCTTAAATGCCGTTTAGTACCTCCAGGTTCTTAAAATTAGCAATTATTGAGGAGCAACAACAGAAGAAGAATAGATCCTACTATTTTTATTTGAGAGCTTCCTAAATCAATCTGATTGGTTAATGTGTGATATAGAAAGCTGGGATGAGCCTTGGGCTTTAGCTAGTAGCTATGTGGGCTCCATTTGCTCATTAATCTAATTTACATTTAAATGTTTATAAAATAATATTTATAAAGAAAGGAGTATGGACATTTAGCATTTGTATTACCAGCAGTATTGAATATAATGAAAATATGGTAGTAGTTCTCAGGAGACTTTTTTTATCCTGAACCTGATGAAAAAGTTGACATCTCACAAAGATATACTTAGATGTTAAATATGGTCAGGTGTTTGAGGATTATTCCTAAATGTTCCAATTGTTTCAGACACTAGTGACAGATGAAACTCGCCTTCAAGAATTATCCAAGAAATTGAACCAATTGAAGATTATAGGGTGTATTTCTCTCATAACAAGCAACATGCTACCTGCAGTTATTGAAGATATTCCAGACTTTGTTGAGAAACAAAAAAGAATTTCTTTTGTTTTGCTTGAAGGAATGCATAAGGAGTAAGTAAACACATGAATTATTGAATTATTGTTTTTTTTACTAGGCAAAAGCATTTATGTGATAGCATGTTGTTTCTAATCTCCTCCCCTCTTCCTTGCAGGAGTTTTGATTTAAAAGAAGCTCTTAATACAATAGGTGTTCAGACATGTAATACAGTAAATGAATCATTCACAGAGAGAGGCTTTCAATTATTAAATAAAGAAGTTCAAGCAAATTTGGTAGGTCAGCTCTGCAATATTGTTGAAGAAGACAATGCTGTCATCACCTTAATTGGTTAGTGATGAATTACTTGATATATTCTTACTATGAAATGTAAATTTAAATATACCTATGTGCCTATGATTCCTGAGCACTCTGTTTTATACATGTATTTTTTAAAATCCTCCCCTTGTCCCCATTGTAAAGATTGGGTCCACCCACTTCTCACATTTAATAGTACATTACTGGTGTTAGATTTAGATTTCAGTTGCAGAATCCAGAAATCCTAGCTTCCCTAAATGGTGAGCCTGGTTTTAGCCAGATTGTTATTTGAAAGGAGCACAGGTTCAGGAGGCCAGCTAGCTTTGTCTCTCCTATTTAAAACCTGGACGAACCCTGTCACTAGCTTGCAATAGTTTATGCAGAAGGATCTTCCCACTGACTGACTGTGACAGTGTTAACTGTTGAATAAACCAGTTGACTGGGTTGATCACACATTTTACAAATCAGTGCTGAAATTCACTTAACAAAATACTGTAAACCAAGCAAACAACATTATGACTCAGGATATGTGAATCTTGGCAGACATGGAGTTTGCTAAGGTTTTGAGAGCAGGAATTGGAAACCTATGGCTCTTTAAGTATTACTAAATCATAACTCTCATATTGTCCTCACTGAAAACGATTGCTCTGTAGACTTCCCTGAAAGAGGAAAGATTTCCTCTGTATAGATTTCCAGTGCATTTTGCAGTCTACATGTCAATCTTTCATAGATGTCAACTTCTATAGCATCAGTATCAACCAGAGTGCCATCTCTATAGCCATACTGCCTTTTTTGATATGTGAATGCTTTGCAGTTAATCAGCATGTTAGTTGATCAGTTTTCATTCAACATGAGAAATTAATGCTGTCCTAAATAATGCTAGGAAGTCTAATTGTACATCTATGTGTTTTTTTCCCCTTTTACAGGTAAACGAATTCATTTGTATATGAAAAGCTTGCTTGCTTCTCCATGCTTTCAAAAATCTATGCCTACAGTTCCTGGAGGTCTTGGTGTGATTCAGAAGGAGATAGAGACTATTGGATCGCAGTATGCTAGCATTGTTAACCTTAATAAACAGGTTTATGGACCATTCTATGCAAATATTTTTCGAAAATTGCTGTTCAATGAGACAGAAACAAACAAAGCAGAACTTGAGACTTCTTCCAACTGAAATATGTACAGCTTCTTTTTTGTTCCCTCCTTTTCACAATATTTATATTGTGATCTGCATTCTTTTTTTTGACTATGCATAGCTTGCAATGATGACTGTTAATGGGAAACAGAGAGAAATGTGTCTTTATTATACAGATTATAGTCAAATAAATAAAAGTTCCCTCCAAATTAAAGCAATTACTAAATTTTTAAAATGTAACTTTTGAAAGGATTGTTTGTAATAATGGCACTTATTTACTGTAACTTCTTTTTCTTACACAAATATTTCAGATGTGTATAAATGCCCACAGTAATATGAATCTTTTAAATACTTAATATGCTTATGTGAGTGACTATGGTGCAATAATATAAAATGTATATTTCAAGATTTAATCTGAAATAAATGTTAGAGCATTTGCCTTCTGCCTTTACCCCAAATGGATTGCTCAAGGAAGCCCCCGCCCCATTTCTCTTTTCTCACAAGATAATAGGGACAATTATGTGTCAAATTTGTCCCAGGCAGTTTCCCATTTTGAGCCTTTAATGTATGCAGTCTTCATAATAGTTTAATAGCAATTGCTTAGAATTTAGTAGCCTCTGATTTCACCTGGAAGAGTAGTTCATTTTTTTTAAGGGAAGTCATGATATTTTAACTGACTTGCTTAACAACTTATATACAAGCTATATTTACAAAAAAAATCTCGACTTATTGAAGGGCTAAAATACATTGAATGTATAATTTTTGTTTACTACCAGCATGAATCAGAATTTGAAAATGGAGAGCTTAAGAAGAAAGATATATGGTATTAAGTAGCAAATGCTGAACATATGAACACTTTTTGCAGATTTATGTCAATAAATAGTCCCAGTTGATATTTACTTGCTTTTTTTCTAATAAAAAATGAATTATCATTTTGGCCATAACATGCAATCCTCTTACCATATGATGCTTCTAAAGTGATTGTCACAAAGACTTTCAAGAAAGACCTTAATGTTTAAAATAACTGCTGATACATAGGTAATTGTTCTTACAGAAACAGAACTGTGTACATCAGCCCATCAACCTGGTGACAAGCAAGGAGTTCTGAAAGTTAGAATCTCTACAAAATCAAAGAGATATCAGATTGGGGAAGGCTGATATGAATTCTTTTTGTAAAAAATCTCTATTAAATATATATTGCTAGGATATTTTAGGAAATAACCATTTTCTTTTTCATATGTGTCAATTCCACACGGGACTGAACAAAATAACCTTTTGTGATAAATATTTGTTCAGCCATCCAGAGGAGCTTATGACAGCCAACTTTAGTTTTACAAAGCAATTTTCTTAAATTGCTCAGTATCTTAATGTTTTTTAGAAGATCTTCCTTGTTCTGGTATCCCTTGCTCTCAATATTCCACCTTTCATTTTTCTAAATAAATTTTAGCAGGTTTGAGAAGAGAGGGTGTGAGATGATTGTAGTAACTATCAAAATATGTATATGGCTAAAGGAAGTATGTATTGAGCCACAATATTTGTTGACTCTGGTGATTTGTATCAAGAAGTGAATATGTGAATATCCGAAATATAGTGAATAAAGTATGGCCTTCTGATGCAGTACTATAACTTCTAGCATCCTGTATGTTGATCATATTAGTTATGGCTGTTAAAAACTGTAGTTCAACAAATGGAGGGCTATGCTTTACTAACCCATGCCATCTACAGAAAAAGCAATTATCTAATTCTTAACCTTGAAATTTAAAAAGTGTAAAATATTTTGGACTTATATGTACCTTGATAAGTTTGTGAAGCTATAATATTTACTAAAAAAAAACCTTTCTGTAATCATGTTATGGTATATGATGATCTGTTTTTAAGCATTCTACATTATGCAGGATGATCAAGTGGTGAATGTATGTCTCCACAAATTTTTAATTTACCTAGAGGATTAGATCTAAATTAGTTTAACCTGGATACCATTGTAAACAATGGAACAAGTTAAACAAAACAAGTCCCATTTATTTCAGTGGATGTTAATTGCAACTAAGTGCATGAACCCAGCCTATATTTATTGTACAATGTTCATGCAGAAGATAATGTGTGATTTTTATAAATGACTTGAAAGGGGCATTTTATATAGCATGGTATGTCTATTTAAGAGTTTTTGAATATCTCACAACTAACTTTCATAATCTCTTCAATATTCAGAATGCTTGGTTAAATACAGTTGTTCCTCTTGCATGTTACTTACTGATATTATTGAAGTACATTTCCTTCCTTTGGCTAAAGTTAGATATGTACGTAATTGGTTCATTAAGTGGTTTTTGTCTTAAATGTATTCATTAAATTTGATTTCATTTAAAATGTGTGGAGATTATCGATCATTTTAAGTATAAATACAAAAACATGAAGACAGCAGCATAGATGGTTGCTGGATCTACAGTATTGTTGGATATTTTCAGTGGATAGTTTAAGGGTAACAACAATCCTTACTGGCAAGGGGAAGCAGAGAAGAAGTAAAATCTTCTGGCAATAAATGTATGCTGTATCAGAGCCATTAAATTAGGCTACACTGTTTTACTGTTTTAGTCAGTACCTGAACATGTCAAGATGTATTGATGTTTCTACTTACATGGCAACTGACATAATCACTTAACATAAATAGCTAACATATTTCAGATTACACTATTTGCTTCTTTATGCCAGGCCCAGCTGCCCATTTCAAGCTTAAACTTCTTTTTGTTTTTGCTTACCTGATACCATCAGACAAACTGTATCTATGTAAAACACTCAACCAGATCAGTTAAAGACTGACTAGGAAGGACACAGGGCGCTTGGACTGCAGAAGCTCAGATTCAATTGTATCTGCTTAGCTATGGAAGTCCGACGGGTGATTTGACTGATCATTCTCAGACCTATTTCACAAGGTTGTTATTGAGGGGGGAAATAGATGGAGTACTATTACATCTGCTTTAAGATCCTGGAGAAAAAGCAAAATATCTTGCAAGTAAAAAATAAACTTGAAGTTACCACACTGAGACTGAAACTAGAAATAAGTCAATTGCAGATTGCAGACAATAGAACTTGTATTTTATTATTATAAAAAATTGTATAAAAATATATTTACATACCTGTGTCCAAAGAGATACTTAGGAGAATTCTGCAAATATAAACGTATTACTAAGCATAAATATAAAAAGATACCACTGTTGCTTTAAAATGCAGATTTTTTGATTCTCTGAAATCTTGCAGCTACTTTAAAATAATGTCTGAATCTGGCCACACTCAATCCATGCACAAAATTAATTATTTCAATGGGTTTACAGTAGGCTTAGAAATAAATGTGCCAGATATTTTGTTACATATTAATCTATAAAAGAAATTTACAACTTTATAAAATGGATAAAAATGCTGAACTTTACTAATGCACACACCAAGGAATATAGATTTGCTACCACATGCCACATCATAGAAATGCCACAGGCACAGGACATTGTGCAACTCAATCCCTGGGTGCCTTTGGCTAATCATTGTCTCTTTGACTAACCTCTTTGCAGGGTCATGCACTTTATATGCATAATATAACTGAGCTTCAACAATCAGGGCAACCACCTAATAACACATAGAAACACAGAATATGCTTAACTCTTTACTAGTAGTTCTTCAGATTTTTGCATTCAGACATGGTCTAGTTGGTATACCTTTTTATTCTTCTGAAGGAAGCCTATAGATTGCACATTAATATTTATGAAATAAAGCCTGGTCACATAGAATTGGCACATACATTTAAACTCTAAAGCACTGTTTCTCAAACTTGGCGACTTTAAGATGCATGGACTTAACTGCCAGAATTCCCCAGCCAAACTGAGTCAAACTCCACACAACTTAAAGTTGCTAAGTTTAAGAGAGGCTGCTCCAAAGGATGTTCTGTTCGAACATCCCAATGTTTCTAATTATTTTGACTTACTTATTTAATTTCTTTACAATCAAAAACTGTAGGCCGGGAGGATCAGTACGGAGTAAATAAGCTCTGCTCTTGGTGAAATAGTTCCGTCCAAGGAGCCTGAATTACACCCACGGACAACAATAGGCATCTAATTCTGATCAAGCGCTTTCATTTGCTCACGACAAATAAGCTTTAGTAGCGCATTGAACGGAACTTCTTTTCAGTTGGTGAGTTGCACAGGGGACAGATTTGAAGAATACACGCATGCGCTTATACCCAGGAAACGCTGGGTCTGCAGGGCGAGCGTTCTGCAGCATGGATGCGGCGGAGTTGGGAGCTTTTACTCCCGAGCAAGCGGCGGCTCCTGTAAATACGGTGGAGGTGAGCGAAAGCAGCGGGAACAAAACAGAAAGCGATTGTGTACCTGAAGCTTTTTAAACTTGCAGACAAAAAAATGAGAGTAAATCTAGTTTCAGAGGCTTCTGATTACAGTTTCATTATATAAGTACTTTTCTGACCCTCTTTTTTACTATTGGATATAAAAGCGACATTAGTCACTCAGTAAGATGAAGCATAGAATAGATAGTTACACTAAGTCAGACCCTCTTTCCTTCTCAGCATTCTATACTTGATAGAATTCTCGGTTTTCTAAGACAAGAAATCCAAAGATTGATTTAAAAAAAATAATTCGGTTGATTAGTGGTTTTGCTGGTATTAATGTTCCTGTATATTATATAATACTATATTCCCAAAGCAGTAGTTTTTAATTCATCTCCACTTTTGACTGTAAGTGTGGGGACTAGATGCTATTCTTGTCTCCCATGTTTCTCTTTTTAGAGACCAGAAGTTCTGGAAACTTTGTTGGAACTTGAGGAAGCCCAGATAAAACAGCTGTTGCTTCAACCAGTATTGCTATTTTGTGTTTGATCAGAGCAGCTTTGTTTCACCACTGAAGAAAGGTGCTAATGGGTGCTTCAGTAACTTTAGGTGCTTGTTCATCTCTCACATACATGCATTTTACCTGTGATCTTTCTTGACAAATTCCTACCAAAGTAAAATATTTAAATGATATAGTAGAGCATTAATAGAAGCAATAATGGAAGAACCTAATGGGAGATTTGATTTGCCAAAGTAAGCCAATATTTCCAAGAATTTTGGTTTACTAGGAATGC